AATGAAGTCACCATAGAAAACAAAAAAATTAGAGAAAAAGGGAAAAAATAAAAAACTATGACAGAGGATGAATATGAATAGGACATAGGATGAGTATGAATAGGAGGCGAAACTCATCAGGTATCAACAGATATTATTAATTAAATCACATGCCAGCCTCTTGCTGAAGTCTGGGCCTAGCTTTCAGAAGTCTGGGTCTAGCTTGGGTCCCATTCTCATCAAGCCAAGGCCGTAGTTCAAGGCAGTCTTCTGGCAGTCTTTCTGGGCCACTGGCTCTTACTGCAGTATACGCCATGTGCTTTTTTTTTTTTTGCCAAGGTGGAGATCTGAGTCAAGATCAAGTATTTACACCACTCAGATTCTTTGGTATGGGAAAGAAGATTGTTAGTTTTACATGAGCACAAGGTGAAAACATTCAACCACACTGGAGTATAAAATACATATTTTCTGTAGCGACAAATTTTTAATTGGCTGATTTACTGGCACTTTTCTCCAGCGATATGGTAACCACAGGTGCCTTCACACCCCGGACGCACCTTTGCTGGTTTGAAGGATCGTAAGGTGTTTGTGTTGTTGTTGTTTTCCTTAAATTTTTATATTCTGTGTATGGCTGTTCCGATCGCATATTTGTACAGTGCCCACGGAGGGCGGAAGAAGGGGCAGAAGGGATCGGTTGAAACGAGTCACTGTGTGGGTGGCGGGAATTAAACCAGAGTCTTTGGAAGAGCAGCCACTGAGCCTTCTCTCCAGCCCCAGATTTGAAGGATTTAGGACTTCTGCTTTAGGTCATAGCTGGTGCAGGAGTTAAATCCAAGTGGGTTGTCCCCAAACGAAAGGGTTCATATTTTTTATTCAAGATGTGGGGTTCAGGGGGCTGGAGAGATGGCTCAGTGGTTAAGAGCATTGCCTGCTCTTCCAAAGGTCCTGAGTTCAATTCCCGGCAACCACATGGTGGCTCACAACCATCTGTAAAGAGGTCTGGCGCCCTCTTCTGGCCTGCAGGCATACACACAGACAGAACATTGTATACATAATAAATAAATAAATATTTAAAAAAAAAAAAAGATGTGGGGTTCAGAGAGACTAGAAACCTGCTGGACTACTTGGAGAGCAGAAACTAGGGGTGACCCCCAAAATTTGGTACAGTGTTTTTGTTTTTTGTTTTTCTTGGCAGGGTTTCTCTGTATAACAGTCCTAGCTGTCCTGGAACTAGCTCTTGTAGACCAGGCTGACCTCGAACTCACAGAGATCCAACTGCCTCTGCCTCCCGAGTGCTGGAATTAAGGCGTGCACCACCACCACCACCGTGACGGAGTTTAAAGGGACTGAGGCCGAGTGTCTGTACCACCCAGCCTGTGGGGCAGGCGGGCCAGCGCTCAGCAACCAAAGGGGTTAAAGGCACCGAGTCCCGCCCCCGTCCAGGATTGGCGGTTCCAGGGGGCGTGGTTGGGGGCGGGCCCGCGTTTGCCGCAGCCGCTGATGGGCGGGGCGGGCGCGGGGCGGGAGGGGCCAAGAGCAGAGCCCGGCCGCGCCGCGCGCCCAGCGGGGCGGGCTTCGGGCTGCGCCAGAGAGCGGGGCAGCTGTCGCCGGTGTCTGAGCCTCTGCGCCGGACTCTGAGGCAGTGAGTAAGTGATACAGGCCTGCAGGGGCGGCCCTCCAGGTTCTCCCTCAGGTCACCATGCCCGCTGCATCGCGTACCGCTTTTAGCCGGAGGGAAGCTGGGGAGGGGGCGCGTCCCGCTGCTAGGGTACCGGGAGTTGGGGGATGAGGCCGATGATGTCATGGACGCTTCACCCGGCGACGGGAGGGGGGGTGGCGGCCGGAGGGGGTGCGGCCCGGATTATGTCACCTCTTCTCTCTGCACCCCGCCTCCCCCCCACGGGGGCCACGCGCGTTGGTGGGGACCGAAGGAGGTTTGGGTGGAATTTCTCCAACCGCAGAGACCTCTGTGGCACCTTTGCAGAGGATTTGTGGCTGGGGTCTATGTGCTAGTAGATGGCGACACCCCCCACACACTCTGACACACATGCACAGCAGAGGCAGGCTCCTGTGTAAGCGGGTGGGTGGGGGTGTGCTGTGGGTACTCTCAGCCCTTAAGCACTGGTTTCATCGGAGCCGGAATCCAGGGGATGGGCCTCTTCCCCTGCAGGTGCCCACGTTTCCAAGGAAAGAGGAATCTCTTCTCATACATCCCAACCAAGAAGTTCTGCCCCGTGAATCCCTTCCCTTAATCCTTCCTGGAAGCCCTTCCTGGTTTCTCTGTCTGAATTCATTTCCTACTTGCATTGCTCATAACCAACATTCCCACATGCATTTGCCTTGCATTTTCTTGATGTCAGGGCCCAGAGACCCCCTAAAGACATCTTTTACGCTCTGAGGTAACACTGGTTTCCGATGGGGAAGCAACACAGTGCAACCTCCCTGGGGCATCCTGAGCTAAGTGCTCCAAGACCCCTGGGGTATCAAGGATGCTCTGCTGAAAAAGCAGTATTTGGACTGGTTCCAGGAGAATATAGCCTGGGCAGAGAGCTGAGAATGGGTTGTATGTGGAGTGAAGCGCTCATGTTGGGAGGAATACAGAATGGCTGTCAAGAGAGGCCTTAGGGACTCTGCTACAAGCTCTGTTTAGTTGTGGGTGCCAGAAAGAACACCAGCATTTGACACATTATATGTTCCCTTCTTCAAATTGCTGTAAGGTAGGTGTGATAATCTGAGGTGGACCGGTCTGCATGAGGTTCCCCCTCCTAATCAGTTGAGCTGTGATTTGCACCTGGAGCGTATGCTGCAGGAACTCAAGCACCCTGCTCAGGGAAGGGTTTAGCCAGTGTTCACTTGGCCCCTTTGAGCACTAGTAATAATATCACAGGCACTGAGGGTTGATGGAACAGAAACAGAGACAGGCTCCGGCACCAGCTATCACCCCAGAGTGATGCTGTTCAACCGCCCTTGCAGATGACAGCTACCTAGGCCAGTCCAGGAGCCTGGTCTACAGAGGGAGCTCAGCCCTTCCTCCCCCCTCAGTTCCTACTTACCAGGGAACTGTATTCCACGCCTTGTCCTCCCAGCTCTCTACCAGGGTTTCGAGGAAAGAACTTGCAGGAGCTCACGGTTGGAAGAGGCAAGGGACAGGGGGTTGACTAGGACAGGTTAGAGTCGTGACAAGGAACTCTATGGGAATTGCCTGCTGGTTGACTACAGAGCAGCCCTCATGGAGAGCACAAGAAGGGGGGCTCGGGACAATGCTGAGGACCCTAAGCGTCTGAGTCTAACAAGGACCCACTCTAGAGGAAGAGTGACGTGGGGTGGCCCATGACACCTCCCGACTGTGCTCTGGTCCTCCTTCCTTGGGTTCCAGAAAGGCGTGCACTTCGCAGTTATTTATAAAACATTTTCCCAAGCATTCATTATGTTTTCCCGTCACTCAGAATCAACATAGTCACTCCTGTAGTTTGTGCCTCCTCCACCCCAGCCTCTGGTGCAGCTCCCTTGCTAGTCCTCTGCTTGCCTCTCACGAGCGGCGTCTGCCTTCACTGTTTTTATCAAATTTTAAATTCGTATTGAAATTTTTGTTTTTTGGTGAAGCCATTAGTGCACTCAGAGAGGAATGGTGGGTGTCCTGCTCCATCACTCTCTGCCACATTCCCTTGAGGCGGGGTCTCTCACTGAACCTAGAGTTAGGCTGGCAGCGAACAAATCTCGGCAATCCTCCGTCAGTGCTGGGGTTCCAGTCACTGCACAGCCATACCTGGCTTTTTGTGTGGCTGCTGGGGATTTAAACTCAGGTCCTTATACTCATCAGCAGGTTCTCTTACTGAGAAACTCCCAGCCTGTTTATTATTATTATTATTATTATTATTATTATTATTATTGACAAGATCTAATAAAGCCTGGACTGGGCTCAAACTCAATATGTATTCAAGGCAGGGCTTGAACTCTTGATCCTCCTGCCTCTGCCTCCATGCCACCATGTCAAGCTTTCGGGGTTAATTTTAAAAGAAAAAGCAAAAGGCCTTTGATTCCAAACTTTCTTAAGTGAAGGCCTCTTCTGTCCTCTTCTTCTCCAATTTTTTTAAAACTTTTCTTTCTCTTTCTTTTTAGAGACAAGGTTTCTCTGTAGCTTTGCAGCCTGTCCTGGAACTCACTTGGTAGACCAGGCTGGCCTTGAACTCCTGAGTGCTGGGATTAAAGGCTTGTGCCACCATCACCCAGCCACTTTATTTTTGTATTTTATGTACGTGGTGTTTTGCCCAAGTGTATGTCTGTGTGAGGGTGTGACTGTCCCAGACAGCTGCAAGCTGCCGTGTGGGTACTGGAAATTGAAGCTGGGTCCCCTGGAAGAGCAAAGGATGCTCTTAGCCGCTGCACCATCTCTCCAGCCCTGCTCTGACCTCAGCTGTCTGCTCAGGCCTTTCCACCCCTGTGGTCTGTCTGCGTCTGTTTGCACCACTTTCCCAAGGCTGCTTCGACATGGACCCCGATGAGGTTTTCAGCTGCTAAATCCAGGCCATACTCTTCAGTTCCAGTTTTACCTTCTGGACCCTTTTTCTTTTCAACACTAGAAACTGTCCTTGTATTCTTTTCCCCTCCCTCCCTCTCTGTCTCTCTCATTTTGTTTTATTTCTTTGTTTTTTAAGATGGAATCTCTTGGTTCTTAGAGTTGTATCAAACTTCTGGGCTCAAGTGACTCCCCCCAAGTAGCTCGAGCTGCTCCACTGCTCCCCCTGCCTGCCTTTCTTCCTTCTCATCCTCCTCTTCTTCTTGATTTTTTTTTTGTTTTTTGTTTTTTGTTCTAGGGACTGAATCTGGGGTCTTCACTTGCTAGGGAAGAAGGCAATCACTATTCACTTTTTTCTTTTTTAAGACAGGGTCTCTCTCCATTGCTCAGGCTGGCTTTGAGTTTGTAATCTTTGCTTCAGAATCCCGAGTAGACAAGATCATGGGCTTAGGCCTCCAGGCTGGCTGTTTTGAACCCCCTCCCCATGTTGGCACAGGGTCTCTTGGACTCTTTCTTGTTCCCACACTACCTCCCAGGCTTATGGGGCTCCACCACCCTTGCTTGCTGCTAGGCCCACCCACACCACTCTCAGATGCTAACAGTCTCAGCCTTTCCACCCTGGAAGAGGTATCTTTGGGTCTTCTCAGAAACACCTATTTCTCCTAAGCAATCTTTCCCTGTCATGTTAATGATGTCACACCCACACGGGTGCCCTAGCCTCTTCTCATGTTCCCTCCACCTGAGCTCCAGCCGCTTGAGGATTTGCCAGTTCTTCCTGTAACCATTCCCAGGCCTCCCTCTCGGCTTCACCCTGCCAGTCCCCTCCATTGAACTCAGTGAGGATGAGCGAGGGGCGGTGCTCAGGGTAGGAGGGGCTTTCAAGGTTGAGGGCTAGCAGGCTAGAGCGTCTCCCAAGTGGAAACTGCAGGAACTAGTAGTGTAAGGCAAAAGAGACCTCACTCTTGGGTGGCACACCTGAATTTCAGCGATTCCCTGGGTGCGTCCCCTGCCCACTGTCAGGCTGCACGTGGGCACAGAAGGGCCCAAAGGAGGAGGGTGGCAACCGTGCTGTTTCCGTACCTGTGGGGATAGACACTGAATACATTTCTGCAGTGCCGATGACCAGTTTGCTGGGGAACGTACCCACTACCTAGAGCCACAATGTGTATTGTGGCTAGAAGAAATTGAAGGGCACACGTGTTGGCAGCCTCCCTGTTGGCAGTTGGAGGCTGACAGGAAGGATGCAGCATTAGATTTAGGCATCTCAGTAGAAGCATTATTCACGGACCTCTTAATTTTAATAGGGAGAAAGGGTGCCCTGCATGGTTCTGGGGTCTACAGGCCTGAAGAGCATCCCTCTTTCAGAACTGGCACACATATTTGAACTATTAGAGCCTCATGCCAGTGGCTAGGATTGGCCCAGGATTCCTGCCCACCTGTGTTATACAGATTTCCGGGACAGGTGTTCCAAGGTGCTGACTTGAGACAAAAGAACCAGGAAGCAAGCTAGGCCTCTTTGAGCAGGGCCTTGCTCCCCCTTCCGTGGGAGAGAGCACACCCAACAGAACTGGCTCTGAGGACTTCATGGTCAACTGAACGGGGTCAAGGTCCAAAGGGAAAGGGGGGTGTGGAGGAATGGCTAATCCGAGAACTCTTCCTGGTGGTACTGCATTCTTAGCAGGGTTCAGCAGGCAGAGCATCCTCAGGGGTCATCATCGCTGGTTGCACAAGTCCCGCCCCTCCTTCACCCACCTGTGGGAAAAGCCGGAGTGGGGGGGGGGGGGAGCTGGCTGCTGGTGTTTTGGTGTTGCTGCGTCCCTGCCCGGGTCTCTGCCAGTTTAGGGACTGCTATGGAGTACTGATCTCAGAGAGTGGGGCACCCTGGGGCCAGGCTCCCAGGAGGGCAAGTTAGGAAAACCTCCGGGAAGGCTTCCTTGCCACCTGCTGCAGCCTGCAGCCTGTGAATGTCGGTCTGCAGAACTACGGCTGCGCCCACCGGCGACCTTGGCGCAGGCCGCAGCGGCAGCTCCGCCCACCCAACTCCGAGACTGGGCTTTTTTCCCTTGCCGGCCGCCTCCAGGCGCCTGGCGCGCCCCAGCTCGGTTTTTAATTCTTCCCATTTCACAGAGGAGAAGACTGTAGTGCAGGATGGCTTGGTCGGCTAGTCCAAAATCATGCAGCTGGTTCGGGCCTAGCCCGGATTTCCAGAGTGATCCACATGGCCCCTGCAGACTCGGCCTCGGAGGGTCCCAAGCTTGAGGACCCGCCCGCCCCCCACCTCTTTGGAAAGGTAAGGAGAGAAGTCTTCCCTGTAGTTAGCTTTCACCTTGTTTACCACCTTAGATCAGGGGGCTGGGAAAGACCCGCACTGTCAGCTTTTTTGGTGTAGGGTTATTGTGTCTCTCCTTCAACCTCTGAGGTCCCCTACTGGAAACCAATCCCATCTTCCCAGTCCAGGAAACTGGAATATAGGAATCATGACCCAGGGTAAATTCAGTGAAAACTAAATTCTGGGAATTGCAGCGCAGGGAAGTCACTGAGTCTGGGAGGCTCGTGGGTGGAGTAGGATTAAGGAGTGAGCCCAGCTGAGAAGGCCTGTGCCTGGTGGTGCCTTCATCTTGGAAGCCTGGTTACTCTGGTGTCCGTTGAAAGGAACGCAGAGAGACAGAGTGGGGCCTGGGATGACTTGCCTGGGGCTGGGGGTGAATTCTGACCTCTCTACCTTCCCACTTGTGCCCACAGTGCCCGTCTGGCTTAGCCATGGCGAAGCTGGAGACGTTACCTGTGCGCGCTGATCCAGGGAGGGATCCTCTCCTGGCCTTTGCCCCCCGGCCTTCTGAGCTTGGACCCCCAGATCCCCGCCTGACCATGGGCAGTGTGGGTAGTGGGGTGCCCCATGCCCAGGAGTTCCCTATGAAAAGCGTGGGCACTCGAACAGGGGGTGGGGGCAGCCAGGGCAGTTTCCCTGGTCCAAGAAGCAGTGGTAGCGGCGCCAGCAGGGAGAGACCTGGCCGCTACCCATCAGAGGACAAGGTTCTCGCCAACTCTCTCTACCTCAATGGCGAGCTGCGGAGCAGTGACCACACAGATGTCTGTGGTAACGTGGTGGGCAGCAGTGGGGGCAGCAGCAGCAGTGGGGGCAGCGACAAGGCTCCACCACAATACCGTGAACCCAATCACCCACCCAAGCTCCTGACCACCTCTGGCAAGCTAGACCAGGTTAGTCCCCAGGACCTGAGAGCCTCATAGCCCAATTTAGAGTGGTGGTGGTGGGTAACCAAGACAAGAGGTTAAGGTGGGACTTCTCAGGGGGAATCGTGGGAACCGGGAGGAAAACCATTATGGGGAGTTGTGGCGTGCAATCCCGGGGCCGAGGCACTGTGGATTCAGGACAGAGATGGCTTGTGGGAGAGACTAGAGGTGGAGCCTCAGGGGAGACTCGGTTTGGAGATATAATTGGGGCAGAAGGGGGTTCTTGAACAAGTCTTGGACATAAGGAAGAGGAGGGGCCAAGGATAAGATCTCAATCTGATGCTTCTTCCCCCCCTTCCTTCTATGCAGTGCTCAGAGCCACTAGTCCGGCCATCAGCCTTCAAGCCTGTTGTACCCAAGAACTTTCATTCCATGCAGAACTTGTGTCCTCCACAGACCAATGGGACCCCTGAGGGACGCCAGGGCCCTGCTGGCCTCAAAGGCGGACTGGACAAGTCTCGGACCATGACACCGGCGGGTGGGAGTGGGGGTGGCCTCTCAGACTCGGGCCGGAACTCACTCACCAGCTTGCCTACCTATAGTTCCAGCTACAGCCAGCATCTGGCGCCCCTCAGTGCTTCCACCAGCCATATCAACCGCATTGGCACGGCGGGCTACAGTAGTGGCAGCAGCGGTGGGGGGTCAGGCTACCAAGATCTGGGGACCTCTGACAGTGGGCGGGCCTCCAGTAAGAGTGGGTCATCATCGTCCATGGGACGGTCAGGCCACCTGGGGTCGGGGGAGGGTGGAAGTGGGGGCCTGCCATTTGCAGCCTGTTCACCACCCTCGCCCAGCGCACTGATCCAGGAACTGGAGGAGCGGCTGTGGGAGAAGGAGCAGGAGGTGGCGGCTCTGCGGCGCAGCCTGGAGCAGAGTGAGGCCGCGGTGGCCCAGGTGTTGGAGGAGCGGCAGAAGGCATGGGAGCGGGAGCTAGCTGAGCTCCGGCAGGGCTGCAGTGGGAAGCTGCAGCAGGTGGCCCGCCGTGCCCAGCGCGCCCAGCAGGGCCTACAGCTGCAGGTGCTGCGGCTACAGCAGGACAAGAAGCAGCTGCAGGAGGAGGCAGTCCAGCTGATGAGGCAACGGGAAGAGCTAGAGGACAAGGTGGCCGCCTGCCAGAAGGAGCAGGCCGACTTCCTGCCCCGGATGGAGGAAACTAAGTGGGAGGTGCGGGCTGGGGGGGCTTAGATCTTCCCTCTCTGGCGCCCTTTCAAGTCCCCTTCCTCTGGAGACCTCAGAACCGCAACTTACTACTGGGTAGTGGGGGGAGTTGTCACAGGGAAGGGGACCAAATCAGTTCAGAGTGACCCTGAGAACAGAAGCTGCCCTTGGGCTGTAGCAGAGGAGTCACTTCTGTCCGGAGTAAGGCGGGAGCCCCCTGTGGGTCTGAGCCTGAGTCCAGCAGAAGCTCGGTGCCCCTGGAGCGGGAGCTGGGTTGAGATGAGCCTTTACTCCGTCTGCTCTGCCTTTACCTTGCCTTCTGCTTCCGCCTGTCCCTATCCAGGTGTGCCAGAAGGCCGGCGAGATTTCCCTCCTGAAGCAGCAACTGAAGGACTCCCAGGCTGATGTGTCGCAGAAGCTGAGTGAGATCGTGGGACTGCGCTCACAACTTCGGGAGGGTAGGGCCTCACTCCGGGAGAAGGAGGAACAACTGCTCAGCCTGAGGGACTCCTTCGGCAGCAAACAGGCCAGCCTGGAGCTGAGTGAAGGCGAGCTGCCCCCTGCCTGCCTCAAGCCTGCACTGACCCCTGTGGACCTGGCCGAGCCACAGGAAGCCCTGGCCTCCTGTGAGAGCGATGAGGCCAAGATGCGCCGCCAGGCTGGGGTGGCGGCAGCAGCTTCCCTGAGCTCTGTGGATGGGGAGGTGGATGCTGCGGGAGACGGTGGGACACGGGCCCTGCGCAGGGAGGTGGGGAGACTGCAGGCTGAGCTGGCTGCTGAGCGGCGTGCCCGGGAGCGCCAGGGGGCCAGCTTTGCAGAGGAGCGCCGGGTGTGGTTGGAGGAGAAGGAGAAGGTCATTGAGTACCAGAAGCAGCTCCAGCTGAGTTACGTGGAGATGTACCAGCGCAACCAGCAGCTGGAGCGGCGACTTCGGGAGCGTGGGGCAGCGGGGGGTGCCAGCACGCCTACACCCCAGCATGGTGAGGAGAAGAAAGCCTGGACCCCCTCCCGCCTCGAGCGCATCGAGTCCACAGAAATCTGATTCTCTTATCTGCGTGCACAACCTTCTGACAAGTGCCCTGTCTGAAGGTTGGAGTCACCAATGTCCCCTTCCATCCATTTCCTTTCCCCATGTGCGCTGCATATCCCCAGACCAAAGAGGTTCTCAAAGCAGCTGTGACCAGCCCCCTTATCCTCAGTCCATGCAGCTCTAGCACTGCCTTTGTGGGTAGCCACTCGAGACCCTCCTGCCAAGGAGAACGTGGGGGAGGGCAGAGTGCGTGGGGGTGTGGTCCCAGGTGCGGGGAGCTTGCTCCTCTTCTGGGAAGCCTCTTGTTGGAGATGGAGGCAGCAGGCTTGCGTTGCCAGGAAGTACCCCAGACCCCTTCCCAGATCTTGGGCCACCGCTGCTGGTCACCTTGTGTCCAATGCTATTGTCTGTGCTCTCCTCCTAGGCCACACAGCCTGAAGGAGCCTGCGTGGGTCTATCAATGCTGACAGACCCTAGGTTCCTGGTCTCTCTCCTTCATGTAGTGTTTTCCTTCCCCAGGCAGATTAGCAGAAGTGGGAGCAGATGGCCTGCCTGTGGTTGAGAGGGCTACCTGCCCAACCCCTCCCCCAGCAAGGTATCTTTGGCTCAGGCCTTAGAGCCTGGGCTAGTCCTGAGCATGTGTCCCTCTGTGTATATTGAGGGAGGTGAGAGTTGGGGCTGGAAGCTCAGTACCCAGGGGAGATCTGCCTTCCTTTTCTTGGAAAGGGTCACCTGGAGGCTTCTCAGCCCCACCCTCACCCTCTGGCCAGGATCCTACAAGGCTATGTATCCCCTGCTGCTTTGTTGACCCCGCCATACCCAGGGTCACTGGTCAGCTCTAATTATAGCTATGAAGTGCGACCTGCCTCTTAGGTATTCTGATTGCCTCAATCTGAGGTCAGCTGGATGTCTGATGTCTTCCTGTGTTTTCCCTCACTGTCTCCCCCAGCCTCCTGCTCTCATGCTCACATCATCCTCCCAAGCTGCCTTTTCTTCCAAGTCTCACCTTTGCGCCCAGCAGAGAGCTCTGCTTGACTTTTGGTGCACTGCTCACTCCCCAAGTCTGAGCCCCGGGCCCTGGTTTTGAGGGGCCAGTCAGGGTTGGATGTGACTACCCCTAAAGAACAAGGCTAACCTTTGAGGATCGCTGACCTTTTGGCTGTTGGCCAGACTTTGAGTTGGCTCGTTTGTCCGGGCAGGGATGACAGACATGGCTTGGGACAGTTGGCGTCACTTCCTTATCTAGGATCTCTCAGAGTCTATCCCCCCCCCCCCAAGACAGGCAGGGAAATTCTAATTTCTCTTTTAAGAAAGTAAATTTCCAATTCACCAGCAATAACAATCAGAGGAGACTTGGCCCTCAGTCCTTGTATTTCTCTTTTTCACTCCCTCTTCCAGCCCCAAGATGGAATTTTGGGGACTGGGTGGAGAGGGTTGGTAACTACTGTGAGCAAGTTCCCCAACCCCTGACCAGCCTCCTCCATGACTGGTGACTGTTTAGCGAGCTGTGCACCCCCCACAAAAAGCAGGAGTGCCCTCTTGTGCCCTCCAACCCTCGGCACAGCTCCTTCGGGGTGGTCCTCAATGGGTTTTTGACCTTGATTGGAGGCCACTCTGGCAAGCACTGCCCATTCCTCTAATCCCTCACCGTACCTGCACTAGGCCCTGGACCTGGTCCACAGGGACTGGGAGAAGGAATGAACACAAAACAAAACAGAGATGGGGGGGAGAGAAAAAAATATGAACAGCTTTGGAATGTCCAACCACAAAATAAATTATATATAAATGTATAAATATATAAATATATATATCTACCATATGTGATGGAAAGACTTTTCATTTTCCCAAAGAAATAAAATGGAGAAAGCCTCTTAAATGGCATTCTGTGGCCAGCTTGTATTTTTGCAAGTATGGGAGGTAAGGTTTGGGGGTGTAGGCAAAGCTGGAACAAACATTCTCCAGAGGACTCATTGTGCTGTGCGAGGAGATTGGCTCAAAGCTTAAGTCTTCCATGTTTGTCCAGGAGTCGTGGTTCTACCTTTCCTACCAATGGGCGGGGAGGGGGGGGGGAGGCAACGACTTCCTCTTCAGCTCAGGCTGTTTGCAGTGTTACCAGCTGGCTCTAGGTCAGGAGCTGTGCACTGGGCTGCTGTCCCGAAAGCAGAGGATGCAGGATAGCTAAGTACTGCCCACAGCCACTTAAAACACCTCACAGTGAGTACCATAGAACCACAGAATCGGTTTCCAGTTAATGGCAAAAAGACCCATGTATGCTGTAAGAGGTGACCTGTCCTCTATGGTAGTTCCTTCAGTCTTCCCAAAGCCTCACAGTAAAAAATTAGTTTTCTGTAAACATCACAACTAGATTTACACTTTCCTGGAACTCACTCTTTAGACCAGTCTAGCCTCCAACTCAGAGATCTGCATTCCTCAGCCTCCCAGACGCTGGGATTAAAGGCGTGCACCACCACTGCCTGGCCTAGATTTATACTTATAAAGAGTGGCGTATTTTTCCCTTCACCCCATACCTCTAGATAGAGGTGTCACAGACACCTCTTTGTGGAGATACAGCAATGATTCTCCACCTGTGGGTCGCGACCTCTTGGGGTCAAACATAGAGTGACCTATCAGATTTTTACATTAAGATTCATACCAGCAAAATTGCAGTTATGAACGATCAACAAATATACTTTAATGGTCGGGGTCCCCACAACATGAGGAGCTAGTAAAGGGCCAGTGTTAAGAAGATTGAGAATCACTGCTCCAGAGTCCAGATTTTTCATTCTCCCACTGATCCTACCTTGTTTCCTCTGCCACAGAGTGGCATAGCTCTCTGATGAGTTTGGTTCCTACCACTTTATCGTGATATAAAAGGTTTCTGGAGCCAAGCGGTGGTGGCGCACACCTCTGATCCCAGCACTTGGGAGGCAGAGGCCGGTGGATCTCTGTGAGTTCAATGCTAGCTAGCCTAGTCTACAGAGCTAGTTCCAGGACAACCAGGGCTATTTGTTACACAGAGAAACCCTAGAGGTGGGGATTGAAGTTTTTCTGAGGCTGAATGTGGTGGCACAGGCCTTTAATCACAGCACTCAGGAGACAGAGGTAGGCAGAACAGCTGGGGCTATATAGTGAGACCATGTCTCAAAAACAAAGAAAGAAAGAAAGAAAGAAAGAAAGAAAGAAAGAAAGAAAGAAAGAAAGAAAGAAAGAGAGAGAGAAAAAAAGAAAGTGCCTGCTATACATGAGAATCTGAGTTTGCGTTTCCAGCACCCACATAAAGCAAGCCCTGAGGCCCGGTCTCTGTCTAACCACAGCACAGGGGCCACCAGAATACAGGTGGGTCCCTGGAGTTCATGGCTAGTCTGTATTGCTGAATCTGAAGCCGCGAGCTCCAGTTTTAGTGAAAAACACGACCTCAAAAAGTGAGATGGAAAGTGATAGAGAAAGACACCTGATGTTGCCCACTGGCCTACACAGACACACACACCAAGAAAAGGTCCCAGAACCATGCCATAGCTCTTCCCTTCTAGTCCTGTTGGCTAGAGATGGGCCAGGAGCTCCTCGCACTGCAGAGGAGACTAGGAAACAGTACTTGGCAAAGAGAACCTGGACTATGGTGGCTGCCCAGGAGCAATCAAGATTTTGCCCCTGGGTGTGGGATTTCTCCCCCTGGGTTTGCAGGCAGGTTGTAATCAGGTAAGAGAAAGGAAAAGGAAAGGACACGGCTGCTCCTAGGCATGACAGAGAAGTTTTCTGTCAATAAGAAGGCGACACAGTCAGAGACAGGGACTTCTGGGAGAGTCCAGAGTTGACATAACCCTGAGCCAGGTGATGAGAGGGGGAAGGGAGAGGGAACCATGTGCAGCAGCCAAGAGGCCTAAAAGAGAGCAGACAAAAAGGGGCCAGGTAACCAAAGTGATTGATTTTATATATATAGGGAAAGGTAGGTGGGGGAAGAGCAGCCCAGCTGCTGGGTTGGAGAAGTTTAGGATAGGGGTTGAGGTACGGGCTGAGGGATGCTGGGAGAACCTGGCGGCTAGGCACCTCGGCTATTTGTCCCTGACCAGTATAAACCCTGTTACCAATGGTCTAGGGGCACAATGTTCACACCCAGGCAAACTGCCTTTCATAGAACTCAGAAGCTTGGATGCTGGGCTAGAACTTCTTTGTCACCACCTCTTACATTGTCCTGTCTCCCCACCAGTGCCCTGGAGGAGTACAAGGTCTCTATTCTCTTCCACAGCTTTTCAAATAGATGGTAGCCTGGGACAGTGCCTTCTTACTACAAAGGGCTTGAGAGAATCTTCCAGCCTAGGTGTGGGGCCCTCCTAAAGGGAGTACAAGACCATCCTGACTTACCCTCCTCCAGTCTCAGTGTCTTGCATCCATTTTTCTTTTAAAGGTTTTTCTACATAGGGTTTCTCTGTATAACAGTTCTGGCTGTGCTGGAATGTGCTTTGTAGATCACACTGGCCTCGAACTCAGAGCTCTGCCTGCCTCTGCCTCCCGAGTGCGGGGATTAAAGTCGTGCGCCACCATGTCCGACTTGCATCCATTTTTCTGTATCATTTATTTATTTATTGGCAAGATCTCGCTACATAGCCATGGCTATCCTGGAACCCACTATGTAGACCAGGCTGGCTTCCAGTTCAAGAAAATTTGCCTAAACCGGGCAGTGGTGGCGCCCGCCTTTAATCCCAGCATTCGGATCTCTGTGAGTTCTAGGCCAGCCTGGTCTACAAAAGCTAGTTCCAGGACAGGCTCCAAAAAACCTAGAGCAAAACCCTGTCTCGAAAAACAAAACAAAACAAAAACAAAAAAGAAAAAGAACCTGGTCTACAGAGCTAGTTCCAGGACAGGGTCCAAAGCCACAGAGAAACCCTGTCTCGAAAAACCAAAAAAAAAAGAAAAAGAAAATTTGCCTGTCTCTGCCCCCTGAGCTCTAGGATTAAAGGCGTAATACGCCCAGTTCCCAGTTCCTTGTGCCCATTTTTCATCTACCCGTTGCTAGTTCCTCTTCTGAAAACATAAGCATTTTCACTATTGGAAATGCATCATTATCTTCATTGTATAGATGACAAACTAGGCTTTAAAAGTTTATGTGATTTTCCAAAATCATAAAATCTTGATGGCAATCCTAGGATTCGAACCTGAGCACAGCTGCTCAATTACTACCAAAGCGATCCATCCAGCGTACTATTTTACCACCCTCTGCTCGTTCTAGGCATCCTCTTTACGTCTGGAGCTAGAAAATGCCAGTGGAAAACGCTGTCTGGAGTTTTTTGAGCCTCGGCGGCTCCTGCTCCGGGACTGACGCAGGCGGAAGTAGACGGCCGCTGGCCCGGAAGTGGGCTGTGGAGCGGTTGCTGCTGGAGGGCTGTGTGTATTGACTTACCCTTTGCGGCCCGGGACTGGAGCTGGGGCGCTACCTTTGCGGTTGTCAGGTGAGTGGGCGGCCGGGGAGGACGTGCTGCCTGCGTTCTGGCCCCGCCGACCGGTTCTCCCGGGCCTGCTCCGCCGAGGCAGTGCTTCCAAGCCGGCGACCCGGGCGCCACCCGAGAGCCCCTCGATATCTGGGCCACCTTCGCCTCTCCAAACTGCTGTGGACTGAGGGCAAAATACTTCTTTGAAAGCTGCTTTTGAGCCCTTGTGAAGTGGAGATCGTGACTGTATGTACCTCACAGGACTGTTAAACATTCTGCTCGGTCCTACTCCACATCCTAGCGTCCACGCGAAGCCCTTAGAAAGTGACTTAGCCGATTTTGGGTGGGTCCCGAGAGCAGGTCTTTCTTTCTTCTCCCCCCCGCCCCCCAGATTTTCGAGACAGGGTTTCTCTGTGTAGCCCAGGCTGTCATGGAACTCACTGTGTAGACCAAGCTGGCCTCGAACTGAGAGATCCGTCTGCCTCTGCCTCCCGAGTGCTGGAATTAAAGGCGTGTGCCACCATCGGCCGGCCGAGTCGGTGTTTCTTAACCAGCTTCTCGCCAGAAAGCATCTTGGGACGGGGTGAGGCAGTGAAACATATACCTTCATTTTCTAGCACTTTCTGGTCGTACAAGCCCAAGTCGAGGTAATAGCGTTTGTCTCCTCTCTCTCCCAGGAACAGGAAATTACTGGCCCTTTTCTGTTCAAATCATGACATCTCTTTGCTCTAACTCAAGGAAGGAACTCTGCATAGGAGCCTTTCTACTTGATACATTTATGAGTCTTCTCGGGGCTTCCTTGCTCACTCAGTGTAGACATCTGGGCTTTGCCTATCTAGGAATTTTAATGTAAAAAATAATTGGTATTTTGTGTTCATGTTTTCTGTACTTTGCCCACACTGTGAGTACTCAAAACAGCAGCTTTCTAGCACTAGGTTCTTAGGCCTACTGCCCTCTGTTGCCACAGGCTATCCCTAGGTGATTTAGTCCTGCTTGGTAGACCAAAATAAAATCTCAAGACTACCACTTGCTTCATTTAGCTGAGAAAGCGGGGTCACTTTTGGCAGTTGTGCAGGGCTGCTGTGTCTGTATGTCTACCATACTTAGTGGTTTATTGTTTTCTGGTCCCCAATGAAACCTTGGCATTCATCGTGTAAATAGGTCAATTTAAGGTTTTTTTCTTTATTTTTGTTTTCTGTGTCTGAGCGTTTTGCCTTTGTGCGTGTCTGTGCACCATGTGTGTGCACTGCTGGAGGAGGCCAGAAGAGGATGTCAGATCTCCTGGGACTTGAATTGTAGTTGGTTGTGAGCCAAAGTGTGGGCTGAGAGAGCAGCTCTTAAACACTGGGCCATCTTTCTGACCAGTAAGTCAACTTTTATATAAAAGAATTCTGGCTTGGCGTGGTAGTGCACATCTTTAATTCCAGCACTCAGGGAATGAAGGAGGCACATCTCTGT